GATTCCTGAAAATCTGAGTCACCGCCGCCCACTGCCAGTTCCCTCTTCAGGAGCTCAGTCTGGCAACCGTGTCCCGGTAGGCAGAGGAAGTGGGAAATAACTTGGATATTCTCCAAGAAGAGAAGTTCTGCACAAATATTTCTTGCTGTTACCGGGGCGGATGGGAATCAAATGTGTTTTTGCCCTGGGGTTTGGAGCAAAGCCTGCAGAGTTTGCTGCCCTGCGTGCGGACGGGCGTTTGCGCTGCACCGAGCCCGGGGTGAATTTGGCTTCACCACAAACACCATTCATTAGTTCCTGAACTAATGTGGAATTCTGCCATCTCCCACACCTTCTAAGTGCAAATTGGGTGTGACAGAAGAAAGCCTTATATAAAATGCAGCAGATTACAGGCACCTTTGCTTTCAAACGAAGCTGCCAGCTCACGGCTTCTCTGCTGAGCACAGCAGTCTCAGCACGGTGCAGGCTCTAGCAGTGAGAGTGCCTGATGCGTTCAGCAGCTTCAGGACTTTTCAGCTTATTTACCTGCAAAAACTGAGCTGATGAAGATTTGGACCAGGCTGGAGGGCTGGAAAGGGAGAGGAACCATCTTCCCACAGAGGAGATCCCGACGTGTGTCTGGACTGAAGCTCATGCTGTTCTCGGGGCTCCCCGGGCTCTCCCCCTCGTTAGAGAGGGGGTGACTAACGGCAACGACACCGGTCAGCGGTACCTCTCTCCAGAAAGCTGGCTGGTTCCTTCTTTTAAGGAAAACCTGGGAAAATTTCAGCCACTTAGGGAGACAGTTGGTTGACTGTCTGCACTGAGATGCAGTGAAACTCCAGCGCATCCCGGAGCCATCCGTCTGTGTTTGAAGAGGAGGGATATCTCTATAGCAACCGGTGTTTGTCACTTGGGCAGGATCCCTGGGGTCTCTTTCTAAGCACTAAATGTGCTCCCTGTCAGGTGCTGTACACCTGAGCTCCCTTTGTTCACCATCCTCCACTGTTTTAGAGATAATTGTCTCATATTTTAGCATCACCCAAGCCTGTCAGTCCCAGTATCCTTTATGGTTCAGACTCTCAGCCGTTAAAAGGAGGTTTCTTACCACCAAGGGAGGATGCCTGTGCCCTGTCACTATTTGCCTTTTGTCAAGCTGTGCAAGAGTCAATTTACTGAAAGGTGTTTAAACTGTGCACAATAAACACTCACTTCTTTAGGGCTGTGTTTGGACTGGGGTACCAGCCCCCAAATAGCAGCACATGGGAAAAGGTAGAAAAGAAAATGGAGTCATTTACAAGCTCAGAGGCAGGAAACTGCTGCTGTCGACAAAGAACAAGTGGAAAAAGAACATCTTTGTCCAAATTCTCTTGGAACACACGGGGAGAGGAGGCAACTGGTGCAACCATCTCGGCAGAGGCCCTAAAATAGTACATGTCTCCACCTCACATCCACAGAACGTGCTTTTCAGTGTCTGTCTTCCACACTGGTCTCATTTCCAGCATTCCCAGCAGGTTGTTATTTCACTTTGTTTCAATACGTGTGGCTGGATTTGCTCCGTGTGGCTTTTCCCCTAAGAAATGCTGCTTTCTCCACGTGCTGTGGAAGCAGAGCTGGTGCTGTACCAGCCAAGCAGATTCACTCACTCGGAACCACTCTCTGCTTCCTCATTTTCTCACAGGAGACCAGAATCTATTATTTCTGTGGGTTTTTTTTGCCTTTTTCAGGAAACTGAACTGAGCATGTCAGAGAAAACCAGTATCAGCCAGAGCAGCTGCTGCGGTTTTTCTGTTTCTCTCATGAAATGAGATTTAAGAGGCTGGTGTCTGTCCTTGGCTTGTGCTCCCTGTGTATCCCTCTGGCATACAGGAGAATAATTAAAGAAAAATTAGTAATCTGTATTTATGGATTCCTTTTGCAGACGATACTTGATTAATCTCCACAGTCATCTAGCCAAGTAAGAGGAGATTAACCGACATCCTAATCTGTCATAAATCAAACGGGCAGGGAGACGAAGCATCTTCCCTTAAGAGACAAACATTAGGGTTTAACCTATATTAGTCTCAATCTAATTTAAGCCAACTTTAGGACTCTAAAGTCAGGGATTTTTGGACTGTTCTTCAAGGCACTGCAGTCTGTGATGTGCTAGAAGCATCTCACGCTGCGTATACCTATTGATTGCACCAATTCCTGTCAGTAACACATCAAAGAAAATCAGCAGGCAGTTGGTTGCAGCAGGACCAGAAGTCCCCAAAGGAGCAGATCTTTTTTTGGAAAGTCAAAATCTGCTGCCTCAATTGAGCAGCATCAGGGGCTGGGGTAATTGGGAAAGCAGCACTTGCTTTCAGCAGGAGCACAGGGTGTTTGTTACGGTTTCCGGGGAGCTTTCTGTAATTTGCAGATCAAAACCAAACAAAATCAGCCAACCAAATCTTTTCCAGTGAGATCTTGGATTTCCTCAGGCTATAAAAATGTTCAAGCCTCTAAACATCTCAGACCTGTTTTCCTGCATTCCACATCTATAGCCTACCTGTGCCCTAAAGCTAAGAGAAAATCACTGTCTCACACCGATTCTTCCTAAAATGTTACATATACAAGCTCTCTAAAAAATTTCCTCCCCAGATTCTCTTCTGGGACATACAGGAAACAGATAGGAGTCGCGATAGAAAATACTATAAATGGTTCTTTTTCTGGGGATAATGGGTGAAAGATGCAAATGCATGTGTAAAAGAGAGCCCAGACTCAAAGATGGGCCTGATTGTTGATCTGAGCACCATTGGCACCTCCTTTTTGTCAGAAATGTCACTGCAGAGCTGAAGTGAGTAGCAACTGTGAGTCAGGATGGCAATGTGAGCTCTGGCATGACATGGAGCTTGTTTCCTCACCAGCTCTGGCATGACATGGAGCTTGTTTCCTCGCCGTCTGTCTGTCTGTTCCCTGAGCCCTCGTTTCCTCCCCCCCAGCTCACTCCCAGGCTGCCACCTCTACAGCCCACGTGGGAGCAGGATTAAATTCTTCGCTGGGAGGTAATTTTGTTGGTGTTCACCAAGCAAAGGACCGCACTAATGAAATCCAAACCCCTTGAATTGGCCTTTTCTTGCAGTGGACGGGCACACGGGACAAACCGGATCTCCTCGGGGCCAACAGAGCATCCTAAAGAGGCAGATATCCAAATCAGATATCCAAATTTCTCCAAATTTGGCTATTTGTCCAAATACCAGCCCTTTGTGCCCAGTGAGTGTCTCAGCTTTGGTATCGACCCCGTATTTTCCCCATTGCTTAGTAGTGCCCTTCCTTCTTACTAGAGGAAGAAGCTCAAACTATCTTTGTGAGCTTTCTAGAAAATCTTTTATAGATGTATGTTCTGATTTCTCATTATTTTGGCAAAGAAGCTAAAAGTATCTTGAGAGAGAACTCCCTGCTGCAGCAGAAAGCTGGCTGTACCAGCCTTACCTCCCTATAATCCTCCCTCTCCTCTTACAGCCACCAGGCATGTCCTTTAAAGACCAGCACAAGAACTGGAAAGCAGAGGATTATAGCTGGGGGTCCAAATAAAGCACGGATCTGGTGCTTTACACCTTTTTACACCACATGAAATGGGCTGCGGGAGGAAGCGGGGGCTGGCAGCTAATTACCTGGCAGGCTTTGAAAGGAACAACTCAGGAGATGCCAAGGGAACATCCATCTTTATCCTCTGGGTCTTTCCGCTTCGTTGGACTATAGAATTTGGTTGAAATGTGGAAGGATGTGTACACACTGAGGAAAACAAGAGAACAGGGGCTGCTCTGCCGTGGGGCTCTGGTGGGTTGATTGACTTTGCCCCATCTCACATAAGCTTTTCCCTATAGAAATTCTTCCCTTTGGCCTCCTTTTTATTTCACTTCATTCACTGTGAAGAATTATTAATGCTTTCTGTAAAATTATCCTCTGGGGTCTTTTTTTTTTTTTGTCTACAAACACATTAAGGGCTGGAGAGCTTTCCCTGTCTGTGAAGCTGATCTTTTGAGGATGAAAAGGCTGGACGGGCTGGGTTTGGCTCGCTCTGGGTAAGAGAAAAGGGAAACCTGTCAATCAATCACCGAGAAACGCTGAGAGCAGCAACTGAAACACTTTGCTTTTTCCATCAGGCAACCAGGGCCTCTTTGAGGATTAAATCTAGTGCTAAATTTAGCCCCATGTCGCTGGAGTTAGTATCAGGAGTTAGCAGATCAGGACATCTTCGGAGGGAATGACGTCTGTCCCGGGGAAGTCTAAGCCCCGACCTGCTCCTCTCCCACCCTCCATTTGGGGAGTTTACAAAGCACTTGAAATATGGACTCTCATCAGCCTCCTCATTTGTTGTTCTGTCCAGGTCCTGAGCAAAATTTGTTCATAACAGATGAAAGGGATGTCACAGAGGTTTGCACTGAGCCTTTTTTCCACTGGTTGGGTCATACAGAGCCTTGAAATCCCACATTCCAACCCAATTTATATTCTCAACTGCTCTGATAAATTTAAGAGTATTAAGAGTTTTAAGAGAGTTACATCTCGGGGGAGAGAAGTGAAACCCTTCAGAAAATAAACAGCCCTTTGCAGGTCTTCACTTAGTGAGCCAGGTAGATTTCAGTTTTAAATAGAAATACTGAAACTCCATATAAATATGCTGGAATTGGGGGGGGAAGTTGTATGCATGTGTGTGTATTTACCTGTCCCAGGTGAATGTCCTCCTCCTCCTCCTTATAGTGACAAAAGGAAAGCCAGAATCAACTGGTATAAACACCAAAGGAAGTTAATTCCCTTATTTTCCTCCCTGAAATCTCAGAAAGTCTGCTTGGATGACAACACTGCAAATACAACACAAGCAACGGACCTTTTATGGGGTTATTTCCATTTATAAGAGGCTCAGGCAGACTTGTAGGACATACCAAAGTCTCATCCCTCTTCAGGTAGAATCATTTTGTCATTGGGTCAAGGAGACTTTAAGTAGATCAAGGAGCGTGTGGCTTCTGAGACTGGGGAGAGTAAAAGAACCACACATTTCCTCGAGTGCCAGCAGACAGTCAAGAGTCACTTCACAATTTTTATTTGTTGACGGCTTTTATAAAACAAAATTCCCCTTGAATCAGACATCTCATAAAACATTTATAGTCTTGTGCATGCTTGTGTGATACATCAGGTTTCAGTAGACCAGTATCTGCAAAACCAGCCCGTTGAGCTGTCAGGCAGAACTGCTGTGTTCTACTGAAGAGGGGGGGAAACTCACAAAATTAAGGCACTGTCAAAACCCCAAACCCACAAATCATTTGACCTTTCGTACTGGCTTTCATCCCCTTGTAGAAAAGAATATTTTGTTATTATTATTTTTAATTAACCATCAATTTCAGTTTGGAACGGGGAAGCACAAAAAAAAATAAAGATGCTTTTCTTAAATCCTCCTGTTTCTGTTCTCGGTTGCAAGATGGCAACGGCAAACCTCGCTGCTGGGGGTGGCAACATGCTCCTGACTGGGATGCCCAGTGCCATGTCCCAACATGTGCCACTTCCATGGCAGCAATCCCAGCCCTTGGTGGTTAAAAAGCCCTCAGCACAAGTTCTGGTGCTTAAGTTGACACTTTTAAAGGACAAAATCAGTTCTAAGAACAGCTTAAAACTAGTCTAAAAGGCAGGATTCACTAAGCAGAACGTGAACGAACTGACAAGACTCCTCCCTGAGGCAGGCAAGGCATTTCGTGTCCTTCACTCACTGGGCACAAGCTGCTCTCACAGAGCACTAGTTTGGCCAAAAAGGACCTACAAAGGATAATTGCTATCTTCAGCTGGTGTGTGTTTATCAGTCCTTGAAAGCAGCTGTAATCAGCTGGTGTGAAATCCGCTTCTTCGGCCTTTCTGTCTTAATTTGGGAATATCAGAAATGTTCCTTCCTGCATCCAGTGAGTGCTGGGGGTGTCCTTCAGCACGTGAAAATCACTGCTCCAAGCACACACCAGCCAGGGGCTTAGGACTGTATTTAGAAGTATCCCATTCTCCATAGAAAGATGCAACATTTTAAGAAAGCCAGTTTCAGGCCCATTAATGAAGTGCCCTGGCAGTTACAAATAAATAGTAATAAATACTTATTTACACTCACACACCCTTCCTGTCTCCCACAGGATTACAAACAAAGCAGAACTGTGCTTCTCCCCTGGTGAAACATGACCAGGTTTGAGGTGGGACACACTATTATAAACAACGTGCAGCAACAAGTTTAGAATAAGAACAGTACAAATACTTTGCACTGGGAGCGTTTCACAGCTTCAGAGCTCTTGCAAACACAGACATCGTTAAGAAAGTGAGGATGTTCTGGCCATTAAGAATCAGAGGGAACTTAAGTGAGAGAAACGGAGTTTGGCCAGGACACCAGGGTCGATGTCCTTATTGCATATAAAATGTCACATTAATTGGAGATATGGCAGATATGGGAGCTAGGAGAAATTACATCAGCCTCATATGAGACCATTTAATTTCCTTGAGTATAAAATCCAATTTCCACATTGTATCTAACCACTGTGGTGTTTTGGTAGCCATCAAAAAGGTCAATGAAAACTCAAAGGAACTTAGGAGTCACAGGAGCACAAACCATTACCTCGATTCATAAATAAACACAGGGAGGGATTATACATCAACTCAAAATGCTGCATCATAATTGCTGACAGCTTAGGAACTGGCACCCGCTTGGCATCCTGGCACAAATCTGCAAATCCCTGAAAATATGATCAGAATAGAGAGACAGAGACCAAGCAGCAGCACAGAGAGCACAAATGAAATTCAGGGACCCGTTGGGCAGTGTCCTGGCTTCCACCTCTCCTCTGGAGTCTGAGAGAAGGACTGGAGGATAAAGGAGGTCACAGGTGGCTTTTGAGACTCAGCTCTGGAAGAATCTTCTTGGCCTATTTACTGTGTGGTTGCTTTTTTATTCAGCTTTTTTTGCTTTCCGTTTCCTTGTGCCTTCATTTAGCTCCTCTTTTGACTTTGCAGGAGGAGGTGGAGGGTGGGAAACCTCATGGGAGGCCCCGTGCTGATCATGGTGGTGGCTACTGTGTCCACTGGAAACCGAGCCAAAGAAAACTGGGCAGATGCAGTTTTCCACTGGAGCAAAAGGTGAGGCATGAGAGTGAGTTGCTGTCATGAAAACCTGCCAGGAAACAGTGAATACTTCAAGTTAGAGATCACATATGCCAGCTATGAAATACTAACTAGTGAGGGGCATTCCACTTGCCCCAGATAAATGTCCCTATTGGTACATCACTCAAAACTGTATCACAAGGACCTTGTACTGCTCAGGTGATGGAGAATTTAGCCTATAATTTCCTGAGCAGATCTTCCCAGTCCCCTCAGGAGTGGCTCAGGAAGGTAGACCCCCGGCAGTTTAAGTCTGTAGCAAACCTGTTGTGAACTTACCTTGCAAACTATCATGAACATGGTGAAAAAGAAGATGAGGTTGGCTTCGGAGATAGGGAGCCAATGAGTTTGTTGCAGAGTGAAGAGGATTGTGCCGTACAGACTAGCCTTTGTAGGGCTAGAAGAGAAAGAAAAAAGTTTTCCTGAAGGTTTGCACCCAGTCCCGAAATTTTTGGTCTGACAGAGAATTTACAGGCTACCTACTTACAAGGACATACGAAGAACTTCGTTTGTTTCTGGCTTCCAGACCCCACGCAGCAGTTGCTCAAAGTTAGACAACAAGGCAACACCAGAACCTGTGAAACAGTAAAAGTGAGCAGCCAGAATTGCCACACCAGAGGAGAGCTCTGCTGCCTTTTCTACGTCCCCAAGGGATAAGGATAACTTAAGGGGAACAAAAGTTTCATGCCATTCTTCCCAAATTTAAAAGAAGTTAGACTAAAACAACAGAGCACTTTCTAGACCCTGTAAAGTGTTTCCTGATGAAGGGAAAGGGCATTTGTCTCTGTTCCATTTCCTGATGCTCAAATGCTTGCTCCAAACAAAAGCTAAAGGCAAACTGACCAGGCTGTTTCAGTTCCAGTAGAAACCCCCTGAAAAGATAGACCAGAGACAATAGAACACAGGAGAAAGAATAAAGAATTCCTGAATTCCAACCCCATATTTGATAGTGACTCCAGTTCATGCCTCTTTAAAGTCAGATGATGACTCAACTGACAACCATTCTGCGAGTAGGAATAAATACCTGTGTTCTAGGGAACTGAGTGCCTGAAGCCACCTGGGCCACATCCTCCCTCCAGCCTGCTCAGCACCGAGCCATGTGGCCACCTTAAACCTCATTCACAGATTCTCCTGTCCCTCCTTGGGGGGCTGGGCACCTCCTGGCTGCATTAAGAGTATCTGGTGTCTCACCTTTGACCCAGCCAGTAGCCATCATGATGAACCACCCGTGGTGGTAACGGTGATGAGCATGGTGGACCCCAGCTGCAATTTTGCGAACTCTGACCACCTCCTTCATTGCCACAAAGATGAGCTTCATGGGCAGAAAGCTAACACACTTGTAGAAGAGGTTCATGGGACAGAAGAATATCAAATACCTGGAACAAAACCATGAAAAGTTTAAGGACCCATTTGTTTGTCCTGATCTGGGACGCATAGAGAGGATTAAGAGTGCTGTGGTGTCACCCTGAATTATGTCAGAAGAAGGAAACGCCGGTTCTGTCGTGCCAAAGCATATACAACCCTTATGCACTGAGGAAATTAAACTTGGAGTAGCTGTGGTTAATTTGTGCACGTTTCACTAACATGATGAAGAAAGTGCCCCCAAAGGTGCCCCTCTGCTGCTCTCAGCGGTATCAGTCGGTGCAAGCTGCTCCGGCGGTTTGGCTGCAATTCAGCCACGGGGGCTATGAATAGAAATGCCCAGTGACAGGACTGGCCCACACAATCAAAGCACTGGACAACTGCTCCAAGAAACCCCAGCCTAGATCTAGGAATGCAAAAGGCTCAGAGACTACCTCACCCCACCTCTTCTTTCCCCAGATAATCTGAGCAAGGTGCCTCGCGCTTAATAAATCGGGTGAAGTGCAAAAAGACTCACCAGACCGCGGTGGCCAGGATGACACTGGAGTTATTGCTGAAGTAATCAATAGGTGATTCTCCAAGTAAGAGATCAGCAAGTATGTAACTTCCGAAGCAGTGGAGCATAGCACAGAGCCAGGAGGCAAAAGGGCTCTTACGAGACATCTCCACGGCTCCTGTGAAGCAAATTCGACATGAGAAGGCGGATTCAGCAAATAAACTGAAACTTCAAGACCCTCCAAGAAAGAGGCTGGTGGTGCATGTTCTCCATCAAAACACGTCAAAGAAAAGTGCTTGTAAAACAAAACTTAAAAATGTATATTCTGTGGAGCCTGAACAAGTACCAGATACTGTCAAGAAGTGCTATGTATGCTCGGAGCTTGCAGCCCCCCCGTAAGGTTTCATATAAACCATGTCATTAGAAGTTTAAGAATTGGCTAAGAGTTTCTCTCCTGTATTTGCTGCTACTCACTGCAATCAGAAAGAACATTTTTTCCCTTTGAAATCAGTGTCTTTTTACAGTCTAAAAATAAAATGCATACTAGTACCATTCTCTCCATTGCTTCAACCTAGGTGCCCTCTAGAATTCATGAACAATCTGTTCAGCTCTT